TATATATATATATATAATTTAATTACTTTTGAGTCTTGCTACCTTGTGTGAAATAATATCCCTGAGTGAGAGGGATAACGGCATTTCTTTGTCCACAAAAAATAATTTCACAGACAAAATATTAGAGAAGAACATTGTATGATCGATATACATGCATAAAATATTAGATTTTATTGTCGTGAATGTTTTGGGTAGTTTACATGAAATAGTAATTGTAAAATGGCTAATTCTGATGCGAATAAAGTATTGTCAATGTATTTTGTCTTTTTCTGTCACTGCATGATTTGCAGATCTGTGACAATGGGGTGGTCCAGTTTGACAGCGGTATTCGACCTGTAACTCCTGAAAAGCTGGACAAGTCTGCGTGGTTCAAGAAAGCGGCCCTCGCTCCTTACCTGTCCAAGTCTGACCCCACCGTCCTGAATGGAGAGCCAGAAAAACTGAAGACAAAGTTTTACTACAGCGTGTACGAGAGGGGTGATGGCAACGACAACACTGACGCCATATTGGAGAAAGCCAGAGATGACGGGCGCAGTGTCCCTGGTTACCATTCTACAGGTGTGTATGAATCTACATTGTAGTGTCTGTTCCCTGACATGATATCAACCCTGATAACAGATTTTATTGTATCACTGTCGATGTTATCATGTAGAGGGATTGAGAAAAAGGCGGACCTTTTTTCGGCCAGTGCTCTGGTCTTCGTCATATGAACACGAGCGATCGCCATGGTGTCACGGCCAGTGAGTGGTAGCCTAAAAACAAGGGACAGTTGGGTGATTTGCCTACCGGTAATTTGCATATGTATTCGAATAATTTGCATGTAGAACCCGATTGCTCAGAACACACGAGCTTCCAGTGTGACGTACGCAACCGGACGTTGAAGGTGTTTGGAAGTCGATATCGCCGACCGACCCGGTTCTGCGAATGTGCCTTGGTGCAGATGATCTATTTCACTCCTCTCCTGGAACAATCACGTTCCATGTGCAATATCTCCACATTTTTATATAACGTTCCTTAGCTAATATAGCTTTTGAAACCTGATTCCGCTATATCTTTATATTTTTTCCACACAATAACAGCTTACACACCAGTTTGGGCGATGGTGATCACGTGGGCGAACGTTCCTCCAGACTGCTCGGTCTTTGGGTCAGACTGTCCCGTGGAGCTGTCTCGTTTACGGGTAGGTTTGCCGAAAATTGTTAAGGTGATACAAAATGCACATGTTATCCACAACCTTACTATGCAATCAAGACGAGCCCCTATATGCCCGAGGAAAATGGCCTTTTAGGCAAGTGGTGCTCTTACAAAAAGCATGGCAACAAGACACATATTTCGATGTCGTTTAGTTAGGCCACACTGATTTAATTTTATGGATGACATCTGCACGCGCATTGATTTCCGCCTGCTTAAAAAAAGCTGTGCGTTGAGGGTCAAGAAAAGCTAGGACAGTACATCTGCTCTATGTTTTTTTTTAGTTATGTCCACTATATAAATTATTGTTAGGAGGACAATTGTTTCCGCCATCCAATTGTTGGTGTATGCTTTGAGCAAAAAAGGACGACAAAGATATCTTTTGTCATACCGTTCTCCAATTATTACCTTCGCCAAGAAGGTTATGTTTTCAGTAGCGTTTGTCTGTGGGTGTGTTTGTGTGTGTGTGTGTGTGTGTGTGGTTTAGCAAGATAACTCGAGAAGCAGTGGATGGATTGGAATGAAACTTGGTAGGTGGGTAGGTCTTCATGAGACCTAGAAATGATTAGATTTTGGGGCCCCTGGCGGCTTTCCTAGGTACTGCAGCAGAACTTCCGGTTTTGATATCTCGTGATCTGGACATGCTAGGGTCACGAATTTTGGATGGCAGATAGCTCTTGGGATAGGGAAGAAGTGACATGAGTTTGGGTCCCCTAGCGGCTTGTTCTGGAACTGCAGAAGCATTTGTTGAAAATTTTTCGAAGGAGGATAATTCAAGAACCGGTTGACGGATTGTCGTGATTTTTGGTATGTAGGTAGTTGAAGTGATGCTTGACATGATCAGATGACAATTATGCAAATCAGGAGCTAATTTGCATAATTAATGAGGAAATTCTATAAATCTGCTTTGTTTGATAATAGAACTATGAAACACTTGTGACATTTGTGAGAACGAGAAAAAACATCTGAGGATATAGATTATGTAAATGAGGGCCTAATTTGCATAATAAATGGCAAATTTTTATAATTTCATAGTTGTAACTGCTGGGAATTTCATACTTGCCACATTTGGAAGTTAAGTGAAGGTGAACATCAACAAACATAATTTATTCAATCATGGCCTCATTTGCATAATTTATGAGGAAGTGCTATAATAGCATTTTTGTTAAGATAAGGCTGTCATTGGTTGTAGAATATGATCAACTGATATAATCCATGCAAATGGGGTTTTTATTTACAAAATCAATGATTAAAATTGTATAATTTGTCAACCACAAGGGTTAACATCATTTGGCGAAGGTATGAGATCGTGGAACTCTTGTTTCTAATGATCTTGCCATTCGCCAACAGCGAAATACATTCCAACTGGCCATATCCACAGATGGCACGGAGTCGTTTGCAACGTTCGTCTACCCCCCGAAAAAGCAGGAATGGTTTGCTCCAGGTAGGTCAGTGGCTGTCATAATAAAGATGTAGCACTGTTCGTGTATTCTACTTGCATATCATGTATGCTGTGCTTCATACAATACATCAAAATGTAGTTTGTATATAGTCTACTTTGCAATCAAGCACGTTATTTTTCAAACCTTTGCGAACATGTAGGTGAGGTAAGGTATCTCCTAAGAATGCTGCAGCAAAAGATGAAAAGTAAACCTTGTCGTTCTTTGTTGTTTAACAACAGACGAGGCGGAAAAGCCCAGAGACGGGAACCAACCGCGGGTTAGGGACGCGGCGGTTGCCGGCTACAGCGCCGGGGACGGGACGGGCTTAGGACCTGGTAACGTGGAGGGGATGTCACCTTTTTCGGGAACGAAAGCGATGAAGGATCTATACCGTCGTCCGTCAAATAGAGCAGGTAGGCACGTTTTCACATCTGCCTCCTACAGATGAAAAACAATTGGTCACCTTGGTGAATTATTGGACTAATGCTAATAAGACTGGACTTAGATGTACAATTGTAACGTATCATGAGCTCTGTCTAACAGACAAGATATGTTTTGTAATAGTTAATTAGCGGTTAAAGAATTCCGTCACTTCTTGTTTAATTCGATCGGCCAGTCTTTCCCTCTGACATCTGCTTGGTACGTGGTTTTCATTTAATATATAGCAATATATCCGACACCCAACCATCGGACGAACAAACGACGGAACGTGATACTCAGTAAAAAGCCCAAAAGAATAATAAAGTATGTTAATGATAGATTCTAATATTTGCTGCAATCCTCGTTGAGACACCAATACAATCAAGGTTTATTGCAATTGTAGCAGGTACAGTGTATGGCATATGATCAAACTACTAGCTTTCTATAGCTGGCATGGGTATAGCAAAATCCTACATATAGGTTCAACGGGTACTATATTTGGCAAAATGTTGAATGGGACTACTGACTGAGAACTTAAGTACACCTCTACATGTACAAGTACGTGCTGAACTACATTATACTATATTATAAACTTAACTACGAGTACTATACTTCACAGAGTGTTAAATAAACTACTGGCTAAGATCTGTTACAAGTAATTCTACATTAAGGTGTTAAGGCACGATATACTATGCTTAATAAAGTATACAATGAGGTCTTGTATGTCTATTATACAGTCATGTTTTTGTACATGTTGATATTCTTACATAGTTATTTTGACACGTCCATGCTGCAGGCTACTGGAAGTTTGCACTACAACACCAAGGGGCTCGTCCAGTTCCTGCGGAAGCCGTGGTGAGCTGTTCGGCGTGGATCCGTAAGCAGGAGTTTGACACCCCGACTACCCTGCCGGGTTACCATGAGTTACCGGCCCCCGGGTCTTGCCCCTGCACCCTGGAGCAGGCCTATCATGATAGGAGGTATCGTCTTTGCCCTTTTTTCCTACATTGCCTGTCGACCTATTTTGTGTACGATTCCTTATGATGACATATGAAACATATGAAAACACATACCATTTTAGCCTTACATATACATGGATAAATTGGGTATGAGACACTTAAAATTCATCACAATTCGTTTTATAATTTATAATTCTACAATAAAAGGTAAGGTACTATTCTTGAATCTGGAAGTTCTGCAGCTGAACTGCATGAGGTTGTCCTTTGTTCTCTCATAATTATAAATATTGACATCATAGAGCATTTGCAATTGCTGCACATATTCTTATCATTTATTTATTCATTTATTATTATTTACTTTAATTCATCTATTGGCTTTGTCGTTCAACACGCATTGCTATACCTGACCCAGTGGCTATTGCAAATGGCTAGACCTGCTGACAAAACATTTCAAAAGAATCGGGCATGGGCCGTATACCAATTTGTAAGATTATCTTTAGGTACATAAAAACATTGTATACAAGTTAAATAATTAGAATTAGCGTCTAAAGTAGCGTCGTTTATTATAAAGGCTAGCTCAAGTCATAGTAAAACGTATAACCCAGTTAACATTAGTTAATATATATTCAGCAGAAACATTTTTAGACTCTTCTTATAGCCCTATCCCAGTTATTTAGTAAGTTGATTGCTACTTGAATCAAATAGTCCACACGATTTCATACTAAATTTTGACTTTAACATTTTCCAAACAGGTACAGTTTGATAGGGTTTTACATCAGGCGGAGCAACACCCCTGACATATGCGCTATCAGTAGGGTCAAAGTTCGCTCCTTCGTGGACTCCAAGATGTACCGGATGTGGAGAACCTGCTGCTACGGACCGAGCTACTACTGGAGGGAAAGGAAACGGCCATGTCCATGTGTAGGTACCATTTGTTTGTCTTGTACACTAGAATGCAATCTGAATGGATAAAGAATGTTTAACAAGAGCCGACGTTTCTATGACAGTCTGTCATCTTCATCAGGTTAACTATGACTGGTTCTGGTATATAGCTATAGGTGTCACTGTTTCACTGTGCACTGGTGCACTGGAGCTAGGCGTTACGGTTGTTTGGGACGGTAGACCAGTCATAATTGCCCTGATGAAGATGACAGTCATCGAAACGTCGACTTTGGTAAACAAGTGGTTGTGAACTTTGCTATGCAATCACTCACCAACCTGATGGAATTATTTACGGGTGTTAAATGTTTGTGTATTTGTGTTTCAAACAGCACTAAAGAATGTAAACGTATCATAGCCCCATGCTGTTCTACATAGTCTCGTGTAGAGTAGAGTAGTTTAGAATACATGTACAATGCACGTCAGTTTATGTAACATTACTATGGAAACGTATACGTAGTGATCAAAAACTTCACACAACGTTGTAGTAGTAGACATTTATCTATCAGGCAAAATACTTTTTTCGCTTCTTCGTTTACATTGTTAGCATACAATGCTTATCAAGCAAAGAAAAAAAACGAAGTCACAAAAACATGACTTAGCGGCTAGTCACTGCAATGAAGAGCTTTATGATTCAATATTAATTGTTAACTCCAACAGGTAAGAGACAGGATTGGTGGGGGCAAGCTAAAGTCAGGCCATGCCGGAGGACATCTTGTGGTGGTAAGATATATAATCATCATTATTTCTAAATCAAATGTTTTCTAGATAATGCTATGGACTTCAATATGTTCATTAGTTTGTCTGAAAATGTTTGGCTGGAGGAGGTCAGCAGTGGTCGGAGCGTTTGGAGTTTATATTAAGTGAAATCTAACTTAAATTTGATATTATTTGCATAGAAGGATATGTGTAGCCTAAACCTGCTGGTCAGACCGCTCCCTATTCAAAATTCAGTTGGTTGGTGGTCGGAGAAACGTTCTGAATGTGTGACATGGGGCTTGAATACCTATTCATAACCCGTACAGAATAACCAGAACGAAGACAGGGAGGCTTACCAGAACTGTTGTGTCAGCTCTTCCAACTACTACTGCAACAGGTTCAACCAGCTTCGTCCGCGCTCCGTCCCGAACGCCGGTGCCAGCTGCACTAACTACAATATCAATAGTGGTATGTTATTCATAGAACAATAATTTTTCATTTGCAAACACTTAGACGACATAGAGAAAGAGATAGATGACACCACATACAGTACGGGAGTGTGAAATTGTTTGATTTCAATATCCGAAAATACAGATACTAGATTCAATGAAAAAACGTATCATCTGGACCCTTAACCCAAAAAACAAATCCCTCAGAACCTCCGAGACTTATAGCTGCCAACACACATACTACTAGTCAAACCTTCCCTTGAAGTGAAAAAAGTATAATCATTCCAGGGTATTTTCACTCTTGTGGAGGAACCCCTCCCTTGACCAATTCTATTTTCGTCTGAATTTGGCAGTTGTCGGGCCCAGACGTTGCACTAGACTGTCCTCTACGTCCCCTCCACTCCCCGGGGGTCCACTCAGTGGCTCTTATCGTCCACCCCTTGTCCTGATGCCTCGCTGTGTTTCCAAATATACTTGGGTAAATATCTTGTTTTATCCACAGCCCTTGCACGTTCGTGGTATGATCCGCACATCCAGACACTGGACGGGATGAATTACACGTTCAACGGCCTTGGCGAGTATGTTCTTCTGGATCTCGACGATGGGGAGTATCAGGTCCAGGCTCGGACGTCTCAGGCTGAAGGTCAGAATCATAACATATTCCTTCTATTAACTCCTCGTTAAAAAGGCAAACATAACCACATTCCTGGTCATTCCTCTGAAGCAAACAAATACCAATTTTGTAATTTAGATAAAATTAGATTTAATTAGATTTAATTAAAATTTGGACAAAATCACTACCTGTTATATAAAAATATGAGTGTCCTGTTCCTACGGCACAAGCAGGCATTGGAACTGCCATTACCTTTTTTCTACGTGCCTTCCTTCCAGGAACGAGCCACGCAACAGTGTTCACCTCCATTGTCGCGTATCAAATGGGCCGTTCTCCAATCCAAGTCAACCTGGTCGGAACCGATGGTCTCCAACTGTACGTTAACTACACGGCCGTCGACATGGCACTCTTTGAAGACTTGGAACATGAAGAGGAGGTGGAGGATATCGCTTCTGTATCCGCACTTTCCAACTCTTCTCTGCTGATCTTCTTCTACAACGAGCTGTCAGTGAAGGTGACGGCTCAGAAGGTGAGCATCGTGCATGACGACCAGAGTAATAAAATATACTTCATTAAAAAAAATAATGCTCAGACTCAATCGGTATAAAGTGAGCTGATATAAGGTCCTATAACTCTCGAATTAACGAACGACCGAGTGCGCAAAGGGTGAGGTACTTGCTTCAGCCACATGCTCTAGTTCCACAGAGCACAGTCAAGTTTGAGCAAAAGACGGACCAGTATTATCCTAACTGTTCCTTATTGTTCTGGCCCTGGACACAAGGGACAAGTGGAAATGTAATTAAATGTAAATGTAACTAAAATGTAACTAACGTAGACCCACTGTTGCAGTCAAAAGAAATGTTACCAATGAGCACTTTCCGCAAAGCAACCAGAATCGTGATAGCCTTAACATTGTAGATGCATAATATTCATCTTAATCCAGCTAATTTTCTGACTATTTCTTTTTAAAGTCCAAGCATTATCGTCGCCATCATTTATACCATCGACAGGCAGTGCCCTTTAGACACCTTTGACACCCAATACTTTTCATCCACACCAGGCAATGCTGCACCTGGAGTACGCTGTTCCCAATAAGTACCAGAAGAAGACTAAGGGACTCCTGGGTTACTGGGACGGGGACTCTGAGAACGACTTCGTGGCGTTTGATGAGAGTGTCTTACCGAGTGGTGCATCTGAGGAGGACATTTTCACTCAGTTTGGAGAAACCTGTAAGTTTTATAATTCATTTTAAACACTGCACGAAATCCATTCTTCAAGAACACATTAAAGCATGTGTGTACCTTGGCGCAAGCTCTGTGGTGCGCTTAAATATGGGATTTCGAGCAGCAAAATTTGCCGTTTGTACAGTTGGTTTGTATGTCCGATGATATTAAAGACTACTTGTAATTACTGTAATTACTAGCGTAACTAGTAATATAAGTGATACAACGAACTCAATTTGTTTTTTCATATATAGGTTAATTCATCTGTATCCACTTGTTTGATTTTTGTACGAATGTATAGTTAATGATAATGTATAGTTGATACTTGATGTTGATAATGATGAGTACGAGAGGATCACCAGTAGACTCTACAAAAGCCACTGTACCTTTGTTGTGTCAATATCTTTACCTTTACCTGGTCCCATCGTCATGCCTGACGGGGGAATATAATATAATGACATTGTCCAGTATTAGTATTTTTCATTCCATCCTGTCTCAGGCCCTCGGCGAGAGCACCCTGCCAGTGATATGCTCATCCAATCTTGGATATCGTCACCCCACCTTAGCCTCCTTTGCAGACTTGTAGGGCGTCGGCGTTACTGTTTTCGCCCCCTATCTCCCCGGCAAAACTCCCTTGGCGAAGCCGTTGACTAATGGACACTCCAATGGCCAAAAGATACTGCCTTGTCACCGCGATCTGCTTCGACATTACCGTTGATATCCCCTTGTAATATGTGAGTGGTGATGTTTCCTCCTCTTGTGACATGTCCAAATTAAAGCTGTATCAATATAAAGCTTGCATTTATCGTGTACAGGGCAAGTGACAGAAGACGATGGTCCAAAGAGAACGAGATTTTTCTACGAGCCAGGCACGAGCACCGACTCGTACAAGGACAGCAGCTACGTGCCACACTACACGGACCAGGTGATCTTCGGCAGTGCAGAACTGGAGCAGCAGGCCAATACCGTGTGTGAAGGCGACAGGGAGTGTCTTTTCGACATTTTTGAGACCGGCGACGTTGAAGTTGGGGCGCTGTCAGTAGTGATGAAGGAGGACCTTGAGATCGAGAAGATAGTGAGAGGTATATGTTCCGACTCTTTTCATGGAAAATTAAATGTTTACTCCTTAAATTACGGATATTTCTTTTGGACAGAAGGTAAAAAAACTTTTCTGATAGCTGTATTTCAAGCTTTTTTAAACACTCTCGTAATTGTATTTTGGCACCTACACTTATTATTGAATAGAATTTGTTTGCAATGCAGTAGGGTTGATTCAGCTTACTTTGTAGATTAATGACCAGATGTTGCATAATGGAGCTTTGGTTTGAATAAAAATGTCCAATTAGATCTTTACAAACTTATGCATCAATTTGCAGAGATATTCCCTCCAACATTACACGGACCAGAGGTAGTCAACGCTACTGTGGGAGAACAGCTCCAGTTTACCGTGACTGCCGCCGACAGAAATGACCTGGACATGATGTTCGAGTTGGGCCCGGAGGTCCCAGATGACGCCACGTTGTCCGTAGCGGGAGACGTGGCGACGTTTTCCTGGGTCGTGACGTCAGATGAGCCGTTTAACCTGCAGGTTGACGTGACGAATTCGGAGAACGCGACCGCCCAGCTCTGGCCAACCGTCAACATGTGCTCCTGTCTGAACGGTGGTTTCTGTGAGGGACAAGCTGCAGCAGAACAGAATATCAATGGAAACACAAAGTATGTTTTACTTCATTCTAATGAACATATTAAGTAAACAGGGTTATTTATCATTGCATGATTTATTTCATTAAATAAAGCAAAAAAAATATATCACAACTTAGAAGAACTGAAAGAAAATTAAGCATAACTAAAATATATAATAAATACCAAATGTTTTCCCAAATACATGTAAGTAAACATAACATAATGTCACCAGTATACACATTGTATTTCACCATTACATTGCATAATTACATTGCAAACATACTTAACTGTAGAATCTTTAATTTCAAGTTTTCAACTCAATTTCAGATTTACCACTTTGGAGTGTACTTGCCCAGCTGGGTACACCGGAGAGAGATGCGAAAGCGACATCGACGCATGCGTCGAGAACTTTAACCCTTGCTTCTCTGGAGTTGTGTGCACAGACCTGCCCCCGCCAGCCGACATCGACGGGTTCGACTGTGGGGACTGCCCGCCTGGGTTTAACGGAGATGGCCAGAACTGCATCGGTGAGTAGTTTTCTCCACATACACTATGAGTGGAATTCATTTACAATTAAAGTTGAAGCATTATTACCGCGTCCCGTGCCAGCGAAATTGTTGTAATTATGTTACGCCGAAGGGCGGTTATACCGGCTATACAGATACAGATATTTGAAGGTATATGTTATAACACATATCCTGTAAGCATGAAGGGGGCATTATTTCTGAATGACGTTGAATATAGAAAGGGTCAATCTAGGCATGTAGCAATCTTCTTTCTTCTTCTTCTTTTTCCAGACATCGACGAGTGCACCACCACAGAAGGATCTGTTTGTCATCATGTCTGCATCAACAGTGTCGGCAACTTCTCTTGTGGCTGCAACGAAGGCTACTATCTAACGGATGACGCGGTTTCCTGTGAAGGTAAAGAGATTATTTGTTGTACAAGTTGGTGTATTCTGTCTACGTCAAGAACTTTTACGTTCAGTGGTCAGCGCTTATAGTAAGTTATACAATTGCTAGCTAACTATACCTACTAGGGGTGTTTGTTGCGTGGTACTGAAGCACGTTTTTAAACATTAGGCTACAGTGGCTTCATATGGATGACATCCACCTGAGCATATTTTTTTCATTCCCCTAAAACCATAAAAGTTTAGGACCAAATGTTTCTTTAGGTACCTGACGGATGAAAGTGGTTGAAATGAAAAGAAGAAAATCGAATTATCACGGCACCTTCCCAAAGTCAAAAACGATATGGAAGAACAAAGATAAAGAGTTCATTGATCGGTATACGTACAACTGTGTACAACTTTCCTGACAATCTTTATAAAATTACATTTCATAATGACTTGTCTTTTTTTGTTCTGGAGTGCTCAGAGGATGTCAGCCATATAGTCAAATCAGTTTGGCCTTAAAAGGCGTGTTAACCAGAAAGAAGTATCTTTATAAGTTAGTACACTTTCAGATCATTAACTGTTAAGAAGTAACCGCATGCTGCATCGTAGAATAGATAGAGAATTCCATGTCTTCGGATTGAAATAGGTCTTGCATTCAGCTTTACCTTCTTATTTGCCCTATGTCATTTTTAAAATAATACAAAGTATCTCTTTTGATTATTGTTGTTTCAGATGTCAATGAATGTGATCTCCCGAACAATTGCACCCAACGTTGTCTGAATACCGACGGGTCTTTCGACTGTAGCTGTCAGGACGGATTTACCCTCGCATCAGATGGGCAAGACTGTGAACGTAAGTTTCTGGCGACACATCAGGGGCGAGCTTAATAGTACAATGTGTAAGACGTCTGCAAGAGTTCTAGGAGTTGTACACGAATGTCTGTGAAAATCGTTGATATCTCTGGAAGCTGAAAGAACGTCGTGATTCTATTGCTTGTAGGTAGCTTAAGTGATGCTTGGCATAATTACATGCAAATTATTCAAATCAGGATGTATTATGCATAATTAATTAGTAAATTGTATATGCTACGTTTTATGACAAGACTTATAAACAATATAAACAAATGACATATTTGATTGATTAAGCCTGAAGGAAATTAACGCGTCATCTTTGCTTCCAGCAAGCAACCCCTGCAGCATGGAGAACAACCCAGGTTGTGACGATGACTCAGGCTGGTGTGCCATTGACTCGTCCTCTGGACTAGCAACTTGCGTGTGTATGGCAGGATATCAGCTCAACGTCGATGGGATCACATGTGAAGGTTAGCACTTGTGTATACTATCAAACGATAGCGCTAATATTAACTATTACCAATATGGTATATCAATTTAGAAGACATATATACAATATCTATAGGTACCTATTCTAACTCACGCATAAAGTTAATTTATTTGCCACAAAAGAAGAACAATTGACGACGATAATGTTTGGAACAGTTCAAGCAACGGAATTGTCTGTAGCTTCCAACTTTTAAAAGATGTCTATAAAGGACCTGATAGAGGAGCCAAGTACCTCTTGATTTGTTTTTGGGTCCAAACAGACAATAAACAAAAACAATAAACAGTAAACAAAGTGATATAACCTTATGTGGTATCTGAAAATGTTATTTTGTATGTTCCAGATATTGATGAATGTCTTACCGGTGACAATCACTGTGACCAGCTGTGTAACAACACGATTGGCGCGTACGAGTGCTACTGTGAGGACGGCTATGAACTAACGGACAACCCAGTGCATCCCTGCGAGGGTTAGATAATATATATATATACATTAATTTTCTTCACGTCCCTATCATGTTTTTATTGCTTCAATATAAAGCTGTACAAGCTCGGAAATCGTATTTTTATATAACTATGGGGCTTTAATCCCAAGATAGCCTCCTCGGCAAGTAAAATGTCTTTCGGCCGATTTACATCTTATTGTTTCACGTTACACTACATCGATTATAGAAAGCTCTAAACGCACAAACAAATCGATGGCAGAAAAAGACAATATGGGGTTTTCTATCTTGACTGCAATTTTTGCCGTCGATCTTCTCATGCATGTACCATCTTGTGATACTTCTTCCAGATATCGATGAATGTTTCGAGGGCCTCTTCAACTGCTCGACCAACGAGGTTTGCGAGAACTCGGTGGGGAGTTATTCATGCGTCTGTGAGGAAGGAACCGAACTCGTGGATGGCGTATGTGTGAGAGGTAAGGATGTTGTAACTAGGACTTTTAGTTTGTTTACTTCTGAATCGTGTGCTCTAAAATCATGCAGGGTGCACCAATTTCATCCTGCATAGTTTTATATCATTAGTACTAAATGTTCATTGCATTCTGTTAAAGTTTGTTACACATATTATATAATTATCAAAATACAATGATTGACGACGCAATATTGAACCTTTTTGTTCAAACAAATTTTTGTGTGACCAATTTATGCCCCAAAATTGCTATCAACGTTATACTGTTGCACTTAAATAGCTAATTCATGACACAAGCTTTTATAAAATTCAGAATAGCACCCTGTATTACCAGTATACACCATTTGTCTGTACTGCAAGTGGAAAAATGTGAAACTGGAAAATAAATGCCCCATGTGCACCCTGATCTTGGAACAGGCGACTTTAGATTGGAAAAACATTTTTTAAACCCTTCTCATATTCCAAAATAAAGCAACTAATGTATTGAATTTCTGTGTCGCAGCCTAAAAACCAATTTAATATTTTACAGAGTTCGCAACTACAACTACACGCCCCACAACAGTGCCTACAACTACAACTACACGCCCCACAACAGTGCCTACAACTACAACTGCAACGCCAACGACTTCAGGGCCAGCGATGCCATTGGTCACATCCGCTGTTACAGCGTCAGTAGAAAAAGACACAACGGAGCATTCGACCGAGACCATGCCACCATCGTCAGCCATCACTAGCAAGATCACAGAACGATCCACAGTAGATGTAGAAGCTGCCACAACACCGCTATCGAGTGGGGAGCAACGCACAACCGACGTTCACCACTACAGGTCTTCGATTCCAACAACTGTCGAGAAAACAACTGGAAGATCCTATGCTATGACTGCGTCTCAGTCCTCTTCAGAAGAAGAAGAGGAGACTACGGAACACCAAGGGGATACAGTTCCATTTACTACGGCAGGAGAAGGTCGGACCAAAGGTATTCTGACTATGTTTACCTCTGTCCCTCTGTTGTGTGGAGGGTACAATTCCAAGTTGCTACGTACGTTGAAGTGGGAAACTAACTACTGTATGCGCCAAAAATCAGTTAGTCAAGCAAGAAAGCGCAAATGGACATGATTTTGGAAACGGTCACTAAATGTGGGAAAATATGAAACTTGACCGTTTCCAAAACCATATCCAGTTGCTAACAACTGATTTTTTGAGCGTATCTTATTACCTGGATGACTAACCTCCATCGACGTAACTTCTATATGGGAATTAGACGAGTTTCTCCTGTAACGCTATGTACACCCAAGTTTCTATCGTTGAAATTGTACCTTAAACAATGGGGATTCCTTATTCTATGTCCTTTACTTTTCAAACAGATCCAAGTGTGGCTGGTGAGTTGGAGAGGAACACCCTTTTGCTGACACTGGACATGGATATAAACGAGGTAAGCAAATAATCTACTAATATCTACAAATAATCTACATCGATATCAGTGAGCCATTAATTATGTGCGTGTTAATGTTTCAGGTAGTTAAGCAGTGGTACGTTGGGGCATACAAGACTATGTGCTGTATATATAAACATCGTGCCTTGTTCTTTGGCATTACTATGGCAAACTTTCTGGGATTATTGGAGTCGTTGTCTTGCTGGCATATTTGCACAATATTTTCAAATGATTTTAAATCTTAACCAGATCAAAGACCCATGGCTTTTTTTGTCCTACACTGGCGTAGTTCCGCATTCTTTGCGTTTAACTGCGGTGTAATACTAGCGGTGTGATGCGTTGCACGAGAAATGCGCATGCCTCCAAACCGTACATGACCAGGTAGATGAAAGAAAGCAACTTTTTTGCCAAACCTTTATTCGCACGCTCGCATCAGTTTTAGGGTTCCCAGAGGATGCCATCCATATAATCAACATGGCCTAAACTAAGGACAAATATACTCATTGTTTTGAGTCTCTTCCCTGTAGCTTACGAAGAATAGACTAGAGAATTTCAAGACCGTCGTTGCTGAGGAGATGACGTCATTCTGTCGGAGACACCTGCACGAGCTTGCTGACTGCAGAGTGTCCGGACCCGCAAGATCGTACGTATCTTCTGATTTAATTACCTCTTGTCGCCTTTTGTTACCTTTCTTTGAACAGCAACTTCTTAATGCTTAGGTCACATTTGCAAATCGGGGCCCGGACGGGCTGTCTGTATGAACGAAAAATTAACAATCCACATCAAGAGTATATACATATAGTGCCCATGATTATCATCGGAAACGTTTCTGTGTTTTGTTGACTTTTATATCGTACTTTTCGTTCCCAAAAGCTACATGCCTAATGCTGAGGTCACATTGCCAAACCGGGGCCCGGCCGGGCTGTTTCGATTTACGAAAAATCAACAATTTATATCAAGAATATAGGCACATTGGCATATAGGTTCACATTTATTAATTTGATAAACTTTTTTGTGTTTTGATGTCCTTTATATCATACTTTTCTTTCCATGAGACTGCCCGGCCGGGCCCCAGTTTGGAACTGTGACCTAAGCCTTAGGTTGTCTACCGGTGATATATAGAGAATTAAACAAAGAAGTTCTGCTACATTTCTCGTGATAACACACACAGGGATGCCAAAAGCCCTGTACCACCAACTCACTCAGTCAAAGAACAGTCAGTACAAAACACGTTCATCTTAAAAAAAAATCCATCAGACAGCCAAAACCAAAACCAAATGCCGAGCAGAAGAGATTCCTGTACCACAAGTCTTAGAGCTAGAACACTAGGACAGTTGGTGCATGAATGAACTTGTTAATGTATACAATATATTTCAAGTAAGGTGGTCTGTTATTACCCTGTGTTATTGTGAGACAATTGTTATTTTGTATTGGTGTATTATATGTTACGGATCACAGGAAGAATATCTGAGATGTTAGATAAATGTGGATCCTTATAAAGT